TCCGTTTTTAGTTTTTGTAATAGGCTTTATAATTATGGCAATTTACGGTTTACTCTTTGGAGAATTTTCTCCCGAAGAAATTTTGATGGTTATTATTTTACTTTTTTTATGTAATTGTATTTCTTGTAATCGCATTGCTTATATAAGCACATCCCATGCTCTAAAATGAAATAAATTAAATTTCTAATAAAGTTCTTTGTGATTTTATTTTAGATATCTAATGGCAAGCATTCAGAAGCTTATGTTTCCAGCTCTAAACATCACTTTGGCCAATTATATATTTTGGATTGCCAACGTCGAACTACATTTACAATCTCTTGGCTTAATAAATACCGTAAAAGAGAATAATACTTCGACGGTTCAAGAAAGGGAAAAATCGGTGATCTTTATTTTAAGACACCTTGATGAAAGTATGATATGTGATTATGCACACATATAAGATCCCAAAGAGATCTAGGAATCCCTAAAGGCTCGATTTGATAATCGAAAGGCAATAAATCTCCCACTTGCTTGGGATGAATGGCAAAGTCTAAAGTTCAAATACTTTGATAAAGTGATGGATTATAATTCCGCTATGATGGAAATTGTGGTTAAACTAAAATATTATGGTGATATTATCACTGATTCTCAGATGCTTGAGAAAACGTATACCACGTTTCATGAAAACCACATTACCCAGCAAAAACTGTATATGTCATACGGGTATACCGAATTTTCGGATTTATTTGTGGCACTCCTAATAGCGGAAAAGATTAATGAGACCGTTCATGCGGTTAACTAAAGAGCTTGTATTGAGACTGCTGAAATAGTCTCTAGTTATGCCATATTTGTATAATATTATGCTTTTGTTATTTTGAAAAATAATGTTGTTTTAACAACAATTTAATGTATAATTATTGTGTGTTTCCCTTTTTATGAATAAAATTTACTTTCTTTTATTGATGTTTATCTTAATCACAGAAATGGATGAAACAATCTCCAAGGAAATGGCTCAAGAAATTTGTATACCAGATAGTGGAACAACACACACTATTCAGAAGGACAAAAGATATTTCTCTAACTTAAAACCGACAAACGTTATTGTCAATACAATATCAGGTCCTGTAGACGTGATTGAAGGAACTGGTATGACCAACTTTATGTTGACTAATGGAACCAAGTTTTCCATAAAAAATGCCTTGTATTCTCCAAACTCTAAAAGGAATTTGTTGAGTTTCAAAGACATATACCTTCAAGGATATGATACTCAGTCTGCAACTGAGAATGAAAAGAAGTATATGTACATAACTTCTGATAAATCGGGAAAAAGGCTTATATTGGAAAAATTTCCAAAACTTCCTTCAGGATTGCATTACTCATATAAGTGCAATCGAATCGCATCTAGTGATTAAAAGAAATCCAGAAGATTTCACATTATGGCATGATCGCCTCGGTCATCCAGGCACCTCGATGATGCGAAAAATCATAGAGAGCTCACATGGACACCCATTGAAAATCCAGGAGATATATCATGGGAATAAAAAGACATGTGCCGCATGTTCTCTTGGAAAACTGATCATAAGGCCATCGCCAACCAAAATTGATAAAGAATCACCAAAATTCCTTGAACGAATTCAAGGAGATATTTGTGGACCAATACATCCACCATGTGGACCATTCCACTATTTCATGGTATTAATTGACGCATCCAGCAGATGGTCACATGTTTGTCTATTATCATCTCGAAATATGGCATTTGCGAGATTTCTAACTCAAATAATCAAACTGAGGGCTCAGTTTTCTGATTACCCTATTAAAAGAGTTAGACTAGACAACGCTGGTGAATTCACATCCCAAGCATTCAATGATTATTGTATGGTAACGGGAATTGAAGTTGAACATCCTGTAGCTCATGTTCATACACAAAATGGCTTGGCGGAATCATTAATTAAACGTCTGCAATTGATTGCAAGACCATTGATCATGAGATCAAAACTTCCAACCTCTGTATGGGGACATGCCATTTTGCATGCAGAAGCACTCATTCGGATAAGACCAAGTGCATATCATAAATATTCCCCATTACAACTAGTATTTGGTCGTGAACCAAATATTTCTCATCTAAAGATTTTCGGTTGTGCAGTATATGTGCCTGTAGCACCGCCACAACGTACAAAGATGGGACCACAACGAAGGTTAGGGATATATGTGGGTTATGATTATCCATCTATTATAAGGTATTTAGAACCTCGAACTGGTGACCTCTTTACGGCACGCTTTGCTGACTGTCATTTTGATGAAAAAGAGTTCCCAGTTCTAGGGGGAGAAAATAAGCAAGTAGAAAAAGAAATTAAATGGTGTGTACCATCACTGTTACACCTTGATCCTCCTACAAAACAGTCAGAAATTGAAGTTCGACGAATTGTGCATTTGCAAAGTATAGCAAATCAACTTCCCGGTGCTTTTGCAGATACCAAAACGGTAACTAAATCATATATACCAGCTGCAAATGTTCCTGCTCGAATTGAAATACCACAAGAACGTGGAGGAGCAGATGATACACGTGAGTCTAAAACACGTTTGAAACGTGGTAGACCAGTTGGTGCTAAGGATAAAAATCCTAGAAAACGAAAGGAAGTTGAAAAGCATGATATTCCCAAAATAGCAGAAAGTATTTTGGAAGAAACGAATCATGAGTCTAATGACAATGATGAGCATCATGAGCCTGAAGGAAACCATGAGATTTCTATCAACTATATCCATAATGGAAAGATCTGGGATCGAAATAAAATGGATGAAGTTAATGACGTTTTCTCATACCTTTTGTCAAAGGAAATTGATGAGGAAAACGAGGATCCAGAACCAAAGTCGGTATATGAATATCAAAAGAGACATGACTGGATAAAATGGAAAGATGCAATACAAGTCGAACTTGATTCGCTCAATAAGCGAAATGTATTCGGACCTATTGTACTCACACCTGAAGATGTGAGACCGGTCGGATACAAATGGGTTTTCGTTAGAAAACGAAATGAGGAAAATGAAATTACGAGATACAAGGCTCGTCTCGTAGCTCAAGGATTTTCTCAAAGACCCGGGATTGATTATGAGGAAACATATTCCCCCATTATGAATGCAATAACGTTTAGATTCTTGATGAGTCTAGCGGCTGATGAAAATTTAGAAATGCGTCTCATGGATGTTGTTACAGCATATTTGTATGGATCATTAGATACAGATATCTATATGAGAGTTCCCGACGGGTTTAATATGCCAGAAGCATTGAAATCTAAACCAAAAGAGTTATGTGCAATAAAGTTGCAAAGATCATTATATGGGTTAAAACAATCTGGGCGAATGTGGTATAATCGTCTCAGTGAACATTTAACGAAAGAAGGATACGTGAACGATCCTATATGCCCATGTGTTTTCATCAAGAAAACAAAATCTGGATTTGTGATAATCGCGGTATATGTTGATGATCTAAATATAATTGGGACTCAAGATGAAATACAGAAAGCAACAAACTATTTAAAAGGGGAATTCGAGATGAAAGATCTCGGACAAACAAAGTTTTGTCTTGGCCTACAAATTGAACATTCCCAAAAGGGTATATTTGTGCACCAATCCACGTATACTAAAAGAGTGTTAAAACGATTCAACATGGATAAGGCAACTCCTCTTAGTACTCCTATGGTCGTTAGATCACTTAACGTTGAGAGTGATCCATTTCGACCGCATGAGGAAAATGAAGAGATACTTGGTCCTGAAGTACCATATCTAAGTGCAATTGGAGCCCTTATGTATCTTGCGAATTGTACAAGACCTGATATATCATTTGCCGTTAATCTTTTGGCAAGATTCAGTTCATCTCCTACGAGAAGGCATTGGAATGGGATTAAACATATCTTCCGATATCTTCAAGGGACGATGAATTTAGGATTATTTTATCCTAAAAATTCAAAAAGGCAAATGGTTGGTTTTGCAGATGCGGGATATTTATCAGATCCACATAAAGCCCGATCACAGGCTGGATACGTCTTTACGATCGGAGGCACTGCTATATCCTGGCGTTCCCAGAAGCAAACGCTTGTGGCTACTTCTTCAAATCATGCTGAAATCATTGCACTACATGAAGCAAGTAGAGAATGTGTATGGTTGAGATCAATAAGCCAACACATTCAATCAAGCAGTGGGATCAACGTAAACAAAGAGCCAACCATCCTATATGAAGATAATGTTGCATGCGTTGCCCAAACAAAGGAAGGATATATCAAAAGTGATAGAACCAAACATATCCCTCCGAAATTCTTTTCATACACCCAAGAACTTGAGAAGAATAAAGACATTGAAGTCAAATATGTCCGATCATGTGACAATGCTGCAGATCTCTTCACAAAATCACTACCTACCTCGATGTTCAAGAAGCATGTATATGCTATCGGAATGCGCCATCAACGTGATCTGTAAAGTTAATCACTCGAGGGGGAGACTACGTCGTTGTACTCTTTTTACCTACTAAGGTTTTTCCCACCGGGTTTTCCTAGAAAGGTTTTTAACGAGGCAACAGAAGATATTACGCAAGAGACATAGTGACACTGGTCTCCAAGGGGGAGTGTTGTAAAAGTCAACAAAAGAGGCAACGAAAATTTCAATAATATACGCATACACATGCGTATAACGTTTCGTTTTTTATTAATTTATGTGGAGCCCACGTCACTATGCACGCATAGTAATTTACTTTTTTACGTCTATATAAACGAACGAAATCGTTCGTTGTAAATCACAATTCATACTTCAACAATAAGAAATTATAAGAAATCTCTCTCCTCCTCTCATCTCTTTATTTTCAGTATCCCGATCCTTCTGTGGGTATAAATTCTTTCTCCATTATTTATATTTATATACACCATAATATAAAGTAATTATTTATAACAAAATTGAAGTATTAATAAGTTGACAAAATTGTTTTACTCATTCAGACATTTTAAGTCCACATTGACACATGTCACACATCCACGATTGGGCCGACCAACTTAAAACCCAGCAGCTTAATGGGCTTCATAGTCATCTCCGAATCGCTCCACTTAAAAAACTTTGTTCTTCTTCAGATTTCTCAGGGAAGAAGAAGAACCAGAGCGTTTACCGTCGACGAACCACAGGTTACTTAGTGTTCCTTTTCTACTTGTTGAGTTACTTGGGTTTTCTTTAATTTACTCAAATTCATGAATTTTTTGTTCTTTTGAAGATACGGCGTGTGGTAATAATGTCTTCTGGCTTGAAAATCATAGAAGAACAGCAGAAACCGATTCAGAAGTTGCAGATTTATCCGACGGCTAATGCTGGTGTTTCTCCTTTTTGGCGAGGTTTGTCAAAGTTTACATCTTTATACTGATTTTGATATCTTTTTTTTTTAAAGTATGAATTTTTACTTATATTCACTTGTTTCATATGTATCAGAGAAGTATGAAAGGGATGCTAAAAAGTATTGGGATATATTTTACAAGCATCATGGAGACAGAGTAAGCCTTTTTTATCAGTTACTTTATCAGTTACAAGCTAATATTGATGCATCTAAGTGTGTAACACTTTTTGATTTGGTAAATGCTTTTAATTTCGTTAGCTGAAGATGTTAAGGATTCTTCAAATACATGTTTCTGTTTATTCATTTGTCTCGGGAATTATGTGGTACAAGTATTCATTTGAAGCTGCCACTCCTTTCAACTGTTTAGGGTGATTGATAGGTTTGAGGACTTAAAGTTAGTTAGTGATACTAATCATATAGAGCTATTTTCATTAGAGTTTAGGAACGCAGGTGTGTTTGTATGGCGGTTCTATAGTAGAAAAGGAATTATAGTCGAGTCCTTAGCGGATTTTGTGTAAAGTTTCTGGAAAGGGCTTTGTTTATATTACAAAGTTACCATTGGTGCTTTGTGAAAAGTGATCGTACAAATGATATTACTGTACTTTATATGATAAGATTTTCTTGTTCTTCATCAGTTTTTCAAAGACCGCCACTACTTGGACAAAGAATGGAATAGCTATTTTTCCGTGAGTATTTAAACTAGTTCTTTTGGTATCTGCTGCATTACCTATTATAGTATTTAAACCTGAGTTTTTCTTATTCTATTTTTCAGGTAAGTGGCAAAAGTGTCATTCTTGAGGTAACCAAAAATGCTCAAGCTGTTACTTATCTAAATCTAGCTATTTTGTTATTCTGCTGAGCAATTGGTCTTGATTTGCAGGTGGGCTGTGGAGCTGGAAATACCATCTTTCCGTTGATTGCCACATATCCAGACATTTTTGTTTATGCATGTGATTTTTCACCACGAGCCGTCGAATTGGTCAAGGTTGGTCATTATTCTTCTCTAATGTTTGCTTTTCGTTGTTTGATTTGTCTTCGCTAGTGAGGTCAATTTATTCAGCCCTATGATGTAAGTTTTTATTTGCTGGGGATCACTGATAAACTTATTACTGCATTATGAATGAGTACCTTAAACGTACTGATAATCTTTCGATTTATAGTGATAGTCTATTAGTCTTTGCTTCTCTTAAGAACATTTAACAGGTCTACCTTAACTTATACCTGAGTAGTTACTTGTTTCACCACCACATGGAATAGTGTACGATTTGCCATGTGCTTCATAACTTTTTGTTTACTGGCCTCTGTTGAATTTGATCAGAGTGTATTTAACTTGTTTTGACATTCAGGCTCATGATGAATACACGGAGACGCGTGTGTGTGCATTTGCTTGTGACTTGACAGGGGATTGTCTTGACAAGCATATTTCTCCATCTTCAGTTGATATTGTGACCATGGTATTTTTCCTAACAAATTTATATTATTGTGTTAACTAGGTAGAAGATAAGGATCCATCAAATTATCTTAGTAAAAGATTAACACTCCTCTCTAATTGCACCCCTGGTTTTCGTTTCTTTGAGTATGTAATGTTTGGGCCTTTTCTTTTCTTATCATGGACTATTTCTCATGTTAAATACTTGTTGAACAGATATTCGTTTTATCTGCGGTATCCCCAGAGAAGATGGCCTCAGTATTGCAGAACATTAAGAAAGTGCTTAAGGTATCAAACACATCCTTTCTCATGTACTTATGGGCATCCATCTTCTTCTGTTAGACTGAATTCCTCATATTGAGTTACTTTCTTATTATTCTGTTTTCAGCCAAATGGGTGTATACTATTCCGTGACTATGCTGTCGGTGATCTCGCTCAGGTTTGATCCCCCTTTATTACTTCAGAAATTCAAAGTTGTTGCTTCTCATATGAATGCCCATTTTGATGCACTTGAAACGAGTCTCTTGAACTTAGAATTTTTTTGTTAAAAAGAAAAACCTTCTACTACAGCTCATGCTTTAAAAAAAAAGTTGTAGTCTGGCTTTCCTTTTAGGAAGAATAACCAGTTTTTATGAGATTTTGTATTTTTTAGAATACAAAGGCATGGTTACCCATTATGTGTTTCAGTATTTTATCAACAGGAGAGGTTTTCTGGGAAGGATCAGAAGATCAGCGAGAACTTTTATGTGAGAGGTGATGGCACTGTAAGTTCTTTCTTTCTTCTGCGCTCTTTCTTTGCAGTACAACATTTTTATATTTTTGCAGATCTGTGATGATTACCTTTTCTATGCAGCGTGCATTCTACTTTTCTAATGAATTCCTAGAAACTCTGTTTTCCGAACAAGGATTTGAAGTTGAGGAGCTTGATGTTTGCTGCAAACAAGTTGAGAATCGTTCACGCGAACTGGTCATGAATCGGCGCTGGGTCCAAGCTACATTTCGTCGATCACATGGCAACCAAAACCCTTGTGATAGTTTGAGTCCTGCCAAATTAGACAAATCTGAACAACAGGATAGCATTCAGTCTAAATCTGAGGAGCAGGAAAGAAAAGAGATTATCGATAACACTGACATTGACATATCTGATGGTCTGGCTATGGAAATGTTCGGAGCCTCCCCATCAAGTCATGAGGTAAGAGACTTCGGTAATTTCATTCTTTTTACATATTTCGTCGAAGAGTATTTTTATTTTGATTCTACGCTTACAAGTTCATCTTTGTTTTTCTGTCCGATTTGTTTTCATAGATGACCGTGGTTAAGCTTAGGGATTCTGATTTTAAAATCAAACTTTTGTCCAAAGAATATCAACATACATGCAAATCTACGGGGTTGATGCTCTGGGAGTCTGCTCGGCTTATGGCTTCTGTTCTTGACAGGAACCCAAACATTGTGTCTGGAAAACGGGTGTTGGAATTGGGTTGTGGCTGCACAGGAATTTGCTCGATGGTAGCTGCCAGATCAGCTAACCTTGTGGTAGCTACCGATGCAGACACAAAGGCACTTACACTACTGACAGAGAACATCACAATGAACCTCCAATCTTCTTTACTTGGAAAACTGAAAACAGGTGTACTTGAATGGGGTAACAAAGAGCACATCGAATGCATTAAGGGTTTGGCTTGTGAGGGATTTGAAGTTATCATCGGGACAGATGTGACCTATGTAGCTGAAGCCATTATACCTTTATTTGAAACCGCAAAAGAATTGATCTTACGGAAAATGGGAGACCTAGAGGTGCAAGAAAAGCCGGCATTGATTCTATGCCATGTTTTCAGAAGGGTTGATGAACCTTCTCTCCTGTCAGCTGCATCTAAGTTTGGGTTTAAGCTTGCAGACAGATGGGCTGCAAATTCAAAGGAATCTCCTATCGGGAACATCATTGACAGTTGGTTTTCCGAAAAGGATTTGGTCGCGGAAATCCCAAGTTCTGCGTTGCATATTCTTTACTTTCAGATGGAGTAACTATGGGGTGGAGGATCAAATGTTGATTACAAAGAGTTTTTATTTTATTTTCTCATTGAATCTTAATCAATGAATGTTATACATGTATCCTTGATCAGTGGATTGCGTTGGGTGATCATTTTCTTTGTACTGTAAGAATCTGACTTCTATGAGCAGTGAGTTTTTTGGGTAGGAAACGATTACAAAAATAAATTAAAAGTGCATCCTATACTATTATTTGGGGAGTACACTTTATAAGATGCCCTTAACTAACCTTCCCTTTTGTAAAAATTTACTTAAGAATGCCATTACAAAAATCTTCTTTTAGAACAAATTTCATTCAATTTATTGAGGATAAATAAGTAAAATACTAATTTATGTCATTTAATTAATTTAATTAAATTAAAAAACGAAAATCTGTTATTTTATTTTTTTAAAATGACCAATCAAAATGAACATATAAGATTTGATATCTAACTTACCATATTAATTTGTTATTAATCATTAAACTTCACCTCTCATCTTAATATGATTATATTAATATGAAACAAATAAATCATCATATCATCTACATAATAAAAAAAAAGTAATTTTTTTTCTGCATGTGCCAAGATTTGAATTTTTTAAAACGCATATAGATTGTTCAATCTATAAAGGAAACAAATAAACGGGTCAAAAATTTAGACTTGAGTAATATATTTCTTATACACAAAAATAAAGTCAACCAAAATTCCGACTGAGCAACGGGTCAGAATTTGAATATTTATATTCGATTTCATACATTTATTTGTTTGAAATGTATAATTTTATAAAACTACAATAAAAATTTAAATATTTTAATTTGCAACATTTAAAATAAGTTTTACTTGATATTTTTAGAGAATATCATCAATACTTAATAGTTCAAAAAGTTGAAAATTATAAATACTCTAATTTGATTATTTTAAAAAATATTTATAATAGGTAGCGGGTTAAATATAATATATTATATGATGAAATGGGTTCTGATCCTTATAACTATTTGAATAGTTATATTTAATTTCATAATATAATTTTTTTTTTGAAATTCATAATTTTATAAACTACAAAAAAATTTAAAGATTTTAATTTGGAATATTTAAAAATAGTATTTGAAAATTTGATTCTGCAAGCAATTTTAGAATTAACGAATAATAGATTGTGCACGCAATATTTTAAAATGAAATATCGAGATTCTAAAATAAAAATATAGACTCCACGCACGGGTTGATTTTGGTATTATTATATACTAAATATATGTCTATAACATATTCGATTATGCGAATAATTGGTAAATTCCGTAATTATAAATCTCAAACAAATTCTGTAATTAGATTAGCTCAAACAAATCTCTATTTCAACAACCAAAGAATTATAAATTGAAAAAGAATTTTCTAAATTAATAATAGCTAATTTTCTTAAATAATTCAAAATAATCTATGTTTTATATGCGATTCATTTATGATATTTTAATTTTTGATCTAACTGAAATATATGCAATCCTTTTTTGTGGTTGTTAACATAAATTAACTCATTGTTAAAAAATATTACTTTTTAAAAAATAAAATTATTTTCCGTTCTCATATCTTAAAAAAAAAATTATCCATAATTGAGTATTATAGAAAAAATTCAATATTTATTCTAATATTGTATATAGGGACTGACAAAAAAATTAATATTTTTTCACTTACTATTATAATATATTTAAACTTAGTTCTAATATATATATTATATAACCCGTACTAAAAGTACGGGTGATGATCTAGTTGAAAAGGTTAAGGGAGGTGTTTGTAATCACATTTTAAAATTTCTAAAATATACTTAAAAAGTTTTCACATCCCAAATTAACATTTTTTTGTTTTGTTTTATTTTGAAGTCAATAGAAGATATTTAAAAAATAACGTATCTTTCAAAAAAACTTGCGAACCCTAATGAAGTGGTAGAAGATAGGGTGTTAACTCCCGAAGATGAGAATGAAGAAGTGGTTAAGATCTATTATTTTTTAAAACATTTTCTCTTTTCAGTTTACTCGAGAAACGTGCCTAGGAGAGAGAGACAAGACAGTTTTTTTTTTTTTTCCTCAAACACCATTTCTATTAAGATATCGGAAAGAGACTCTCCGCTAGGAAGAGCCAATCAGGAACCGACGAACTTACATGGGAAAATAGACTATTCCTAGCCCGAGCTTTTTTAGCTAAACAATCTGCTCGAGTATTAAAACTTCGAGGAACAAATCTAATGCTAAACGACGGAAAAAAACAAACGAGTGACCGGAAAGAGGCCATTTCTCCTGCGAAAGATGGCCAAGCGTCTTGGTTGTCTAGGATAGATATCATGTCCGAGCAATCAGATGCGAAGGCGCCATTGGTAATGCCTAGCGAGATCAGACACTCCATTGCCCAGAGCAAAGAATCAATCTCCGCGTGGAGCGGTGAGAGGCTCCTTCTCGAGCTCATTAAGCCAAGCTGAAGAATACGGTCTTGGTCGACTAAAACCCAACCATGTCCACTTAGAGAGTCATGCGAGTGCCATGAAGCATCAATCTGACATTCCGAGATCCTGGGGAAGGACGCGGGAAGTAGAACCGACCGGGCAGGATCTGCTGCTTCTTTCATGTTTGCTTTCTTCCACACAGAGGCTTCTCGTAAAGCCAAGGCAAGAGTCTCCTGAGGAGGTTCTTTGAAGTTTTCAAAGCAAAATCTGTTACGACTTTTCCAGATATACCACAATATCCATGGAAAGAGTTCCAAGTTTCCTCTTCTATTCCGAATTCTTTCCCACGCCAGAAAAGAAAGTCGAAATTATAGAAAAGGGAACTTCTGGGGAAAATGTGCCCTGAGGTGGGAATGGGTGATAAGGCCCAAATTTGCCTCGAAGGCGGACAATCGAAGAGAAGACGGTTTATGGATTCTTCCGGAGCCCCACAACGGGGACATCCTTACTCGTTGCCAATATGACGATAGCATAATCTCTGATAAGTGGCTAAACAGCCTGAAACACATTGCCACGCGAAATGCATAAGCTTTCGCGTAGTTTTTAACTTCCATACCTGTGCCTGAAGTGCCGAAACACCAGGTCCCTGAAAAGGGGGGTCACAGGTAGGACGAGATAACTCTCGCGCGGCCCAGTATCCTGATTTAACAGAATAGTTTCCGGATTTGGTATGCGACCAGCTATAGCCATCACTTAAGTAGGTAAGACTTGGCCGTATTCCTAAAATAAGTGGAATATCAGCGGGGTCAATCAACGCTTGAAGGCGGTCCAGCTTCCAAAGCTTTGTTGATTGATCAATCAGGTCGTTGACATAGAGAAGAGGGTCTCTTACATCAAGAAGACTCTTAGCAGCTCTCGCCGGGATAGTGGGAATCCACGGGTCCTCCCACACTTTAGTTAGCATTCCGGAGCCTATGGTTCTTCAGAGACCTGAGACAAGAAGAGGTTTGGCAGCCATTATGCTTCTCCAGCCATAGGAGGGCCGATTCGAATTTCCTATGTGTAAGGGGTCGCTAAAGCGATAATAACGTCCTCTTAAGACCCTACTTAAAAGAGAGTTAGGAAGCCAACCCGATTTAATTGCAAATATACTAATTCGACACTTTCTTGACTTAGCTCGGTCATAACAGAGACGGAGCGACGGTCGGTGGTGAAGTTCGGTGTTTGTGCGGTGAAGGGCGCTTCACCCAGGTGAATGTGACACGAAGCCAACACTTATCTCTCCTTGAAGGAGGAAATCAAAACACATGGATTTGCAACCATAGATTTGCAACACAATTTTTTAATTGGATCACATGGATTTGCAACCATAGATTTGGAACACAATTTTTTAATTGGATCTGAGGACACTCTAAAATTAAAAACAATAGAACATGGCCAAAACTTCTTCACTGCAAAAAAAATGGATCTTGAACCGCTAATTTCACGAGTTACAAACCGGAGGAGCCGAGACGCATCCGGTGATGGCTTCATTAGAGAAAATAATCGCCAAGATTTTTCACGCACGTGAGAGGGAAAATAAGATCTCGCCGGAAAACTCTAGGCTGGCGGGAAGGGAGAAGAGCCCGATGCATCTTTTTTACTCGAGGACGGTTTTGTTTCCATGAGACAAGCTGGTGAGAAATAGACACAGACATCGTTCTCCTCCGAGATATTTGAGCTACGATGACTTAGATATGACTGATAAAAGTGAGAAGACGATATCACACAGATCTGATTCGTCGAAAAGTTTCTCCAAAAGAAGATAGACAAAAAAACACGGCCAAAGCCGGAAGAATCTCGCCGGAAAAAAATTCAGCGGTGGAGAACAGTTTTAGCGGTGGTTGAGAGTGACAGATGCAATGGAAATTCTCAGATCTAAAGTTAGGTGAGCAGCTTCGAGAGTTATGCCAATCATGGAGTCACTACACTCCATTCCAAAACCATGGCAGAGGAAAACCAGAACTTTGGGTGAAGACGAAGATGGGATCCATCTGTAAACGAAACAACTCCATCCTTCGAGAATATTTAATGTATTATTGTCTCATGAAATTGGAGTTCCGACGATTACATGACCGGAGCAAGATAGATCTAGAGGAGGGAGAGAGAGAGAGAGCATTTGGGAGAAGAGATAAGACCGGTTCTAACTAGACGACACGGAACAAATCTAGAGACAAGAAAGTTTTATTAGATGTTGTTCTTTATTATGGTATTAAATTGACTGGTATATCTTTGGGTGATTTGCAAGAATAACATATTTTGATAACTTAATTAAATTTATAGCACTATAAAGTGGAAAATTAAGAAACTAACACTAAAGGTTGTGAAATGACTAAATTAGACTTGGGCAGTGGATGTACGAGCGTGAAGAAAAAAAAAAGAAGTGCAGAGAAAAAAAAGGTTTCTCTTTCTTTTATATGAGACAACAGACAATTAAACCCCATCCTTAATTTTTTTCTGTAATAATTGTTGCAAAAGTTTATTATTCAATTTCAAGATTCTAATTAAAAAATCTTATATTTTTTTCTAGAACAAACATACTTTGAATTTTTAAATTCGGATACATATTTTTCAATTATCTACATAGAACGTATAAATGAAATGGTATAAAATGTAATAAAATGGAATAGAATTTTTGCCCAAAAAAATAGAATAGAACCAGAGAAAACGATTATAATTCCGACGAAATCGATGAAACCAAAAGTTTTGTTTCACGATGTGGTGGTGGTGGTGATTG